TTTTTTTTTTTTTTTTTTAAAGCGTTTACTTTGGAACGCTCCTGGTACATAAGAGTATATAGTTGTTCTACGGCCAGATGATTTCAAAGAAATGGTTGCCAGAAAAGATAACACGACTATATCTTAGATTCTTTTGGGTGAATTACCAACAGGTCAAAAGAAAAATTCGGACATACACATTCTTTATTTAAAATTCTTGATATATTTGTCGTCTGTTCCTGTGGTATGACTTTGGAATCACTAAAAGACATAAAGACGTCACATCASAAGATAAATATACTTTCATTAAAATTTACAACTTTTAATGTGACATCACGCGATATTGAAGGGATGTGAAGTCATATCGTGCGCCACTTTCCGCCACCTCCCTACTATTTTTGTTTATAAATATCACCACTTTATAAATGTATCACATCATTAAAGATCACGTGATGTACATAAAACTTGATGCCACATCACATGATGTCACGAGAAAWGTCATAATTCTTTATGTAATTTCCTTACCAAAGGTACATCTCAATCAATGTGAAGTGTCACACTGCGTTGATCAGATTAGTAAAYACATATTTAKTATTGGTAGTCGAAAAAGTTTTTTCGTGKTTTGTCAATAGATGTCGATGCAGTCGTATATCTCCAGTGCTATCAATCACATTGCGTCATACCACATAGTGYTKGAAAGGTGAGATTTTAACCTTCATTTAAGCYWCATTTAATTTAATTTAAAAAAAAYTAARTTCGGGGWTGTTGAAAAATAGTTACATTTGTTCAAAAATGAGTGAAAATAATGAAGAAACCCGCTATATTTTGAAATTTTGTATAAAAAAAGGGTTGAGTGCTACGCAAGCCATCAATGAAATTTGCGAAGTTTACGGAGACGATGCTGTATCAATTCGTGTAGCACAAGAATGGTTCACTCGCTTCTGTTCTGGAAATTTCAATGTGAAAGATGTACCTCGCTCTTTTCGACCTTTCATTGAAAAAGTGGATGAAACAGTGGAAAAGATTGACCAGGACCGTCACATAAGCAACCATGATATTGCTAAGGAACTTAAAATTCATTATCAAATGGTTTTGAACMATTTAAACAAGGCTGGCTACAGCCACATGAATTGTCTGTGAAAAATTTAATGGACCGATGTAACATCTGCGCTTCTTTGCTGAAACGAAATGAAATCGAGCCACTTCTGAAGCGAATGGTAAGAGAAAACGAAAAGTGGATCCAGTACGGCAATAATGTGCGAGAAAGATCATGGTCAAGAAAAAACTTTAACTTCGCCTGCTTCATAACTATAATACCCTATATAGGCACATTTTTTATAGGATAAAAAAAAGTGTAAAAAGCTGTTATTTCTTAATTTTGATCAGTATATATGGCAGTTCTATGTTGTAGTTGTTCGTATCTAAATAATTTGTTTCGAGATTGTAGCACTRCTTYTGACAATAAGCTGTGCCAAWTTTCGTGAAAACATCTTGGCTAGTACACAAGTTTTTCCAACGAAGACTAAAGTTTACTCGATCAGCTAWGAAATGAGTTACAGACCTGTGCTACGTTTCAGCTCGATATCTCAAAAACTCAGATATCAAGCAGTAACTAAGCGAATGCGTGTGAATGCGAAGCAACTGTTCGAAGCTGCTGACAGAAAATTTCCAAAATTCTGATAATCCTTCAAACCGGCAATGAAATCACTTTCTTTAATTAGATATTAATAAACGTAGAAGAGAATTACTAACAATTATCTGAAAGTAATCACATTAAATTACAMTTCTAATACATTTTATCAATGGAACAACTACTTGAGTCATTTACTTCCCTTGAGTCACTTATTCGGACAGGAAGTGCAAAAAACCCCAACCAAAATGACAAAACAAAATCAGCAAGTATAATTTTAGATGCGAAATCAAGTGCTTGTCAATGATAAAATCGTCAAACACTTAGACAACGGCTAGTTAATTTCAACTTATTAGAAATGTATGTCACGTATCTGATATGATTTAGCGCACATTCGTGCATATTTTCATAAGTAGTTCCTGGAAATTTAAGTACCTAACGCCTTGTGTGTATTTTTAGAGAAATTTAATTTATTTCCATGCTGATAAAGTAATTGCGACACTCATAATTGCTAAAGAGGGAAGTAGGAATATTTACTTAAATCATTTAACCCTTAGGAGTGAAAAGCGCTTTAAAATATTTTAGTGTTTATTATGCCTAGGGGGTTTTCAAATGCTTGTACTCAGTGGTATTAAATATGAATTACTTAATGGATTACTAGTTATGCGATTACATGTACATAACAATATTTAAATGTTTAGTACTTAGCTGGAGTAACAATCAACTTTGAGACACTTTGATTTCATTTTCTCAATTCAAGTACGTTTTCCACGTTGATTTGAAACTCGRCTGTCAGTTCAACATTATCTGAGGGTTAATTAAGCGTAATGCAAAGAAAACACTCTCATTGGCCTGCAAATCCAAACTTGTGTACAAATTTTTTACTATGAAGGCCAACACCAATAAAAATATTTTACCATAAGCTTTATTTGTAGATGCTTTTTATACGGATATAAGCTCCCTTTAGGAAAAAAATAAAAGTTTTAATATTCAATAAAATCACTTAAAATTTAATTTTTT